GGAGGATTGAACCGCGGTCCCTGTGCTTTGCCAAGCTTGTTCCAAGTAGGTGCTTTAGACCACTGAGCCATCTCTCCAGCCCCCCCAAAAAAAAAAAATTTAAAAAAGAAAAAAAAATAAGATAACAAAAACAGGGACAAAAGATACAGAAGGGCTGGTGAGACTAGATAGTTGGTCTAAAATACAAATTGGTCAGCAAACAGGGAAAGATGCTTATTATGTAATCTTTTATCTTAAAAGCAAAGCATTTGCTGCTAAATTTGTAATTTGAATAAATAGTATTCATAACATTTTGTATTTTGGAGGTTGTGGGGAAATAAACAATGACATTTTATTAATTTTCTGTTGTTATACAACTTATTACTGGGCTGGGATATAGCTCAGTAGCACAAGTGCCTGCCTGGCAAACACAAGGTCTTAAGTTTGATTCTTGGTAGGAAAATAAAAAGAAACATATTACCCCACAAGGTGTTAGCACTTTAAAACAGCAGATACTGGCCAGCCAGATAGCTCAGTGGACTAAGGCACCTGCTTAGGCAGAGCCCAGTGGCTGAGGTTTGATCCCTGGCATGCCATGTCGGCCCTGTCCTCAGGGTGCACTGAGACGGCCATTGAGACTGGGCTTGCTGGTGCATGCCTGTAATCCCAGTGCTTGGGAGGCTAAAAGCAGGAGGATGACTACAAGTTTGATCTGTGTAGTGAGACCCTGTAGACCCTTACTAAATGCAAAGAGAGAGAGAGAGAGAGAGAGAGAGAGAGAGAGAGAGAGCGAGCGAGCAGGCAGGCAGGCAGGCAGGCAGGCAGGCAGGCAAGCAAGCAAGCAGATATTTATTTCTCAGGAATCCAGGAATGATGGTATTCAGTGGTTCAGGCTCAGAGTTCATGAGGCTGGATTCAAACTGTCATCAGGGCTGCAGTTGTTGGAACTGAATAGTTCACTTGCAAGATTTTTTATTTGGAATCTGGCAGGTCCCAGTTCCTTCTAGAGACAGCTGCTCCTCAGACTTCACCCTCCACTGTGTAACTGTTTTCACATGTGGCAGTTAGTTTTCCCTTGATAGGTTGACCCGACAGACAAAGAAACCAAGACACATGCCCTCACAATGTACCATCACTGCTGCGTGCTGTGAATCATACAGACTAATTGCAGTACAGTGTGTGAAGTAAGGACATACCAGGAGGCAGGGATCTCTAGGGTTCCGGGAGGTTGGCTATCGGACTGTATTGAACTGTGTGTCTCGGGCCTTGTTTCTCAGTTAGCTAGATTCTAGAGTTTTCTGCATGATGTCTGTTGTGGCTGGACTATCCAAAATGGCTTTTTCTCTTAATTGGCTGGCACCTGAATGGCAGAGCACCTGGGGCTAGGCTTGCAGTCCTATGGCCTCTCCACATAGCTCTCTTGAGTATCCTTAGGGCATTATGCCTCTAGCTGATCAGACTTGTTTTAAGGCGATGTGCTAATACTCCAAGAAATGTAGGAAGAAGCTACAAAGCTTCTTAAAATCTAGTCTTGAACTTTTCCCATGTTCTTCTCAAGATTTAAGGACCCAGATTTAAAGGTATTATTGTCAGCAGGGATACCTAGTTGTGAATGTCCAGTTTTTGAGCCTATGCTAGGAAGTTACAGTTTTTTGAGAGATGATGCTGGCTTGTTCTAAATTGTTAAGAGTATTTTTTTCTTTTTAATGTAATGGGAATCAATCTTAGGACCTTGAGCTTGACAGGTAGGTACCATGCTACTGAGCCATACCCCCTAGCCCTGATACTGATTATATCTTCAAAAATAAAATTAATAGAAATTGCCTGTGGATTGGAATATACTATGTGGGAGATAGAGAAGTCAAGGATGATTCTGAGATTTTTGAGATGAGCAATTTTAAGAATGGTGATCTATTTACTAAGAGTTAAAAAGAAAGACTCTAGACAACTATTTGAAAAGGAAAATCAGGTTAGTTAAGATACCAGACTTCTGTGTAAAAAGCTACATAATAAAAATGAAATTATTTATGAATGGATTGAGTTAAGTATGGCAGTAAACACCTTTAGTACTAGCTACTTAGAAGACTGAGACAATAGGATCACCTGAGCCTAGGAGTTTGAGGCCAACCTGGGCAACATAGCAAGACTGTGTCTCAAAAACTATCAAAGAAAAGCGGACCTGTTTTTTGTTTTGTTTTGGTTTGGTTTTTTGGCGAAACTAGGGATTGAACTCAGACCCTTGCGCTTGCCAGGGAACCGCTTATTCCACTGAGCCATCTCCCCAGCCCTATGTTTAATGTTATATGTGTTTAATACAACTTCTAAGCATTATTGTTAGGGCTATATTAAATGTTTAGGTTAAAGCACAGAAAGAGGGAATTTTTTGAGGTGTTTTGTTTTTTGGTGATACTATGGATTGAATCCAGAGCCTTCACATCGAGACACATCTCTAGCCATTTCATATTATGAGTCAGGTGTTACTAAATTGCCCAGGTTGGGCATGAACTTGAAGTACTCCTGCCTCAGTCTGTCTGAGTGGTGGGATTATAGCTTTGTATAACATTTTTTGAAAGTTTTTGGTGAGAAAATGATATAATGATAATTATGCTTGGAAAGATGAATTTAACAGTATTTAAGAACTAAAAGACTAATAGAGGAGCCAGAGATTAAACGCAATGGAAGCATAGCAAGGTCTTCTCAAATTCTTTTTTTGGGGGGGATGGTGTCCTGCGGATTGTACGCAGAACCCTGCACTTGCCAGGCAGGTGCTTATTCTACTGAGCTATCTCCCTGGCCCAAGGTCTATTCAAATTCTATGAAATAAGTCCTTAGAAGTCACAGCCAGTGTGGCTTTTCTTGTTTTATTTTAGCTTTGAGATAGAAGAAAGCCACAGGAAAAAATGAATAAATAAATAACCATTACCAGTTAGTGTGTTTGAGAAAAAGCTAGTCTGAATTAATAAGATATTTGAATTATACATTTTTATTGAAATTTTATTACATTCAAAGAAGGTTGAATATATCAACCTAGTGTGTATCAATAGGTAAACCTATAAAGACCTGATTTAGTTAGTTGACTAAATGCATATCAAATGTCATCTTATTTTCTTTGATGTTGTATTTGATTGTTTTGAAACAGGGTCTCACTATATAGCCCCTGCTGGCCACCTGCCTTAGCCTCTCAAGTGTTGGGAGTATAAGCATGTGCTGCTTTGCCTGCCTTTTTTTTTTTTTTTTTTTAAGAGTATACAGTAATTGGAGTTACTTTAACTTTCTCATTGAATATATTTTATGAGGGCTTCTAAATATTTTAAGTAGCATTGAAAGGTTCTGAATATCTACAGTGTATTGATCAAAAAGATTACAACTGTTGATAGGGAATTTCTAAGAGAGGTTTTCTAAGAGGAAGATACACTAAGTTGTTAATAAGTCAAAGACCATACTTTGCTTTGCCCATAAGGAGGAATAGCCTGTGGTATTTTTGTTTTTTTTTTTTAAAGGCCGTAATGGAAGATAATAAATAAAAGACAGAGTGGGAAGAAATGACCTTATAAAATAACTAATGACAGACATTTTTAAAAAGATATTTTTACTTCTTTATGTCTTTATTTGGGTGAAAAAAATAAATATAAATACTGCATATATTGGCCTACAAGTTTTAATAGGACAAAAATGTATTTTCTGAAGTTCATTGTTTTTGTTTTTGTGATATTGGCTTAAATAAATTACAAGTTATTTGCTAAAAAGTGTCTTATTTCAGGGGCAACACTGAGTATGAGACCAGCCCCCATTCCAATAGAGGACCCTGAGTGGAGACAAACACCTCCCCCTGTGTCTGCCACATCTGGGACCTTCCGACTACGGCGAGGGAGTCGATTTACCTGGAGAAAGGAGTGCCTCGCTGTCATGGAAAGGTAGGGAGACATTTCCTTTTCATAGGGGAAGAGACAAACTTTCTATAGATTGGAACAGTTTTCATTTCCAAAGGGTAATTTGGACTCTAAATTCTATCTTGAATGTGTTATTTAGAGTATTAAACATGCTATATTATTGAAATAATGTGATTTAACATTGTGAATTTGTAAAGATGGAGTTCACATTTATTAATGTATTTTACTTTGTGTCCTAAGAAACTGTAGAAGAAATATTTTTTGGTTTAGGGCTTTGTATTATGCTTCAGGAAACTATCTGAAAGTTTTAATTGCATCAAAAATTTTGAAGAATTGTGTAAACCACTGAGATTTGACTAAATATTTGTATTTTACTTTGATTCAGTGATTTATTTCCTTACACTAACACTAGTACTTATGCCCTACTAGGTATTCAGTTTCATTCTTTCCATCTGAAATGGTATGGATGATTGTGAAATATTGACTATAGTTAGCCTAGATCTTATAGTGCAATTATCCTTTTAGTCACCTACCTATAAACAACACTCATAGAATTTTGTTTCTGTGGGGAAGTTTATATGCAATACAATGACAGTTTCTCTACTGTACATTTTTCTCATCTCAGACTAGTAGACTAGTATACTCAACAGAGTATGACTCAGTCCTTGAGACCTGTTTAACTGTTCAGATGTCAGATTCTTAGCTAACTTTCTAATCTGTGAAGTGAGGTTTTAAGTAGCCAGTATATCATCTAAGACACTTGCCATCTCTTCTTGTTTACTTTATGATTATCTGCCAGATCATTAACATTATTGCCTTAAAAATTGGAAGATTTACAGTGTTGCAATTCAGACCATGTTTTTGTTCTTGTACTATAGATGAAATTAATAGGATATTGGATCCATTAGCTAAAATGAGACTATATAGGTTATCCATTGATATTATCATATTTTCTTTTCCTTGCCCTCTTTATTATAAGTAAAAATAGAAGCTATTTATTGAATAATGAGTGATTAAAATGAAAGAATGAAACTTCATTGTTCTGGAGACAATCTATATGTTTGGGTGGTTAAAATGAAAAACTGTCTGGGTGATTACTAGGAGCTTCAAAAATGCTAAAACGCAGGAGCAAAAGAATGGAACTTCACTGTTCTTGAGATCTGACATTAGTGATCAGCTCTATTTTTTTAATATGGAAATTTTGTTTCTTTTTGAAAATTTGGAACTTGCCACATAGGAGATGGGAATTAAAATGTAATTTTAATTAATTAATATGTAACTCATGATTTTGTTTTATTTTTTTCAGTACCAGGGATCAAACTTGGGACCTTATTCTTGCTAGGCAGATACTTATGCCATGGAGCTATATCTCTGGCCCTAATATGTAACTTAAACTATTTGTAATATATATATATATATATATGGCAGCAAAATTAGCATTGGTATTAGTTTCTAGCTGGTATAAGTACTGACTTAACCATTGACTTTTTTCATGAAGATAGCAATGTTCATTTATTTAATGTCAGTGTGAGAAAAGATTAATTTGAAAATTGATAGCATCCTGGACTACATAATGAATTCAAGGCCAGTCTGAAATTCATACTCAGACTCAATCTCACAACAAACAAACAAAAATATTTCTAATGCATTTGGAGGATGGAATCTCAAAGACTAGATTTCCTAAGGTAACAGCAATAAGCCAGAGTCATACTGATTGAATTTCATTTAAAAAGGTGTTGAACTAGGCATAGTGGTACACTGTTATAATCCCAGCACTCTGAGAGGCTAAGGCAAAAGGATCATCAGTTTAGTCCCAGCCTCAATAGCTTAGTGACTTAGGAAGATCTATAACAAAATTAAAAGTCAAAAGAGCAGGGATGTAGAATCGTGCAAAGACTGGGTTCAGAAGAACTTTGGCAAACTCTGGGCGGCCTGTGAGATTCTTTCTGGGTGATTACTGGGAGCTTTGAAAATGCCAAAACACAGGAGCAGAAGACAATCTCAGTCCTCTAGCCCGCCCAGAACAAATCCAGAAGACAATGACATACAAGAACTTTGAAGTTACACACTGGAAATCTCTGAAATGATAGCAACTGAAGTAAAGAAACAAGTCCATCAGGCTATAGAAGAAACAAGATGAAAAATAATCTCTAAGGTCCAAAAAGAAAGGACAACAATCATGGAAGACTTGCTCAGAACAGCTAAAGGAGACATAGATAGAAAAATAGAGGAGAATAGAAAAATGATGGAAACACTGAATGAACAATACAAGAGAGAACAAGAATGCATAAAACCGATTCAAATGGACATCTAAGAAAATCCAAGAAGTTAAGAACATCATTAAAAGCTGGTAAAACCACTTGAATGAAACTGAAGATAGACTTTCAGACCTTGAAGACAGTGTTGCAGCTAATGAACATGAAATAAAAGATCTCTTAAAACTAACAAGTAACTAGGAAATAACAATTCAACACCTACAAGACAGTGCAAAGAAAAATAATATAAGGGGGCTGGGGAAATGGCTCAGTAGAATAAGTACCTGCCTAGCAAGTGCAAGGTCCTGAGTTCAATCCCTGGTACCACAAAAAAAATAAATAATAATAATAATAATAATAATAATAATGTAAGAATAATAGGTGTTGATGAAGCAGCAGGAGACAGAAGAAATGACATAAAAAGATTATTTGCAAGAAGTACTAGCAGAAAATTTTCCAAGCGTAAGAAAAGAACCTGACATACCAATAAGTGAGGCATATAGAACTCCACACAGCCACAATCACAATAAATCTATACCTAGACACATAATCAAGATCTCAGAAATTCAGCAAAAAATGGAATATTAAAAGCTGCTAGAGAGAAACAGATCATGGGCAATGGAAAGCCCATTTGAATCACAGCAGATTTCTCCACACAAACCATCAAATCAAGAAGAGATTGGAGTGAAGTATTTCAGGTTCTGAAAGAAAAAAAACTTCCAACCCAGAATGATATAGCCTGCAAAACTATCAAATTCAATGGTGGAATAAGAGTCTTCCATGACAAAAAACAATTGAAGAAATTCACAAACACCAAACCAACCCTACAAAGAGTACTCACAGATACTCTAGAAAGAGACAGAAGTATTCACAGCTTCAAGAACAGCAAAAAGGAACCACCAAACAGATCAAGTAATTATGAATAGGGAAAAACTATAGAACCTATAACAGGAAAATAACATGACAAAGATAAGTCAATCTATATCAGTTATGACCATCATTGTAAATGGCCTCAATTTACCAATCAAAAGAAACAGAGTAGCAGAGTGGATCAAAAGGAAATTCGCAGACTAAAAGTCAAAGGATGGAAAACAATCCTTCATTCCACAGGAAATCAGAAAAAAGTATGGGTAGCTGTCATGGTTGCTGACAGTGTGAACTAAAAATCATCCAGAGAGATAAACAGGGTCACTACATACCTATTCAGGGAAAATTGCAAGAGGAGGAGATAAAAATTATAAATATATATGCACCCATTGGAGTGTACCCTCCTACATAAGACAGGGGTGTGTGTGTGTGTGTGTGTGTGTGTGTGTGTGTGGCTGGCTGGCTGGCTGGCTGGCTGGCTGGCTGGCTGGCTGAGCCCACCCTGGGGGCAGGGCTGGTGTGGAACGCAGTGCTGGGGATAAAACCACTGTCTCTGGGCTTTGCCTAAGCTTGCCTAAGCAGGTGCTTTAGATCACTGAGCTATCTTGCTAGCCCCATAAGACAAATTTTAACAGACATGAAAAATCAAATAAGCAATAATACAGTAGTAATAGAGGATTTTAACATGTCACTGTCACAAAGAGATAAATCAACTAGGCAAAAATTCAGCAAAGAAATAACAGAACTAAACCAAACTTGTGAAGAAATTGACTTGGTAGAATTTTTACAGAGTGTTTCACCCAGCAACAACAGAATACTTATTCTTCTCAGCTGCACACAAGACATCCTCCAAAATAGACCAATTACTAGCACGCAGCACTCTTAAGTAAATGCAAAGCAATTGAAATTTTCCCATGCATACTGTCTGATCACAGTGCAATAAAACTGGAAATTATTGACAAAAAAAGCTACAAAAACACCATAAATAACATGAAAATTAAATAACCTCCTAAACAACCAGTGGGTCACAGATGAAATTAAAGAAGAAATTTAAAAATATTTGCAATCAAACGAAAATGCAGATACAACTTACCAAAACTTGTGGTATGCAGTGAATCAAAGAGTTGGTTCTTTGAAAGAATAAATAAAATTGATAACCCCCCTAGCCAACCTAATCAAAAAAAGGGAAGAAAAAATTCACAATAATGAAAAGGGTGAAATCACTACAGACTCTAGAGAAATTCAGAAGATCATCAATACCTTCTTTCAGAATTTTTACTCTCACAGGATGGAAAACAGATGAAATGAACAGTTTCTTAGATACAAATGAAATGCCAAAGCTGAGTCAAGAAGATATACAAACTCTGAATAACTCAATGAGAAATGAAATTGAAAATATGATTTAAAAAAAACCTACCAACAAAGAAAAACCCAGGTCCCAATGGATTCACAGCAGAGTTCTACCAGAAATTTAGAGAAGATTTAATGCCAACTTTTCTCAAACTCTTCAATGAAATTGAAAGGGAGGCCATTCTCCCAAACTCATTCCTGGAGGCAAGTATAATTCTGATTCCAAAACTAGAGAAAGATCCAGCTAAAAAAGAGAACTATAGGCCAGTCTCTAATGAATATAGATGAGAAAATCGTCAATAAAATGCTAGCAAACAGAATGCAGCAAATCATCAAAAAGATTATAAATCATGAGCAACTGGGATTCATTCCAGGAATGCAGGGATGGTTCAACATATGCAAATCCATAAATATAGTACACTACATCAATAGAACCAAGGAAAAACCACATGATCCATCTCAATAGATTCAGAAAAGGTTTTTAACAAAGTGCAGCACTCATTCATGATAAAAACTCTACAGAGAATTGGAATGGATGATCTATATCTCAAC